TGGACCTTCCCCGTGTGTGGACAATGGCAGGGTGGGGGGCACCAGTAGAGCACCGGAATCAGGGGACACCGGGTCCGGCGTGGTCGCCCCGACGTTCCCAGAGACCACAGGGCTGGTGGTGCCTGGACGCCCAGGGCTGGACACAAGGGCTGCCAGCTTGAGTGTTAGGTGGGAATGTGTGTGTAGTACACACGTATAGTATACACACACAGCGCATTCACACACATGCATGCACACACCTTCCTCTATCCACTTCTTCCCCACCAATGAAGCTTCTAGAACATGCTCAGCCACCGCCTCTGCAGAGAACACACCTCTTTCTTACTCCATGGGAAGGAATCCGAACTGCTCTAGGGGCAGCGGCGTCGCAAAGCCAACTGGCCTCCACCTGCGCTGCAAGGAGTGGCCCGTCTCTGTCTCTCTAAGCACCAGCCTCCATCCCCCGGCCCTGCACCCAGGTGTTGCCAGCCCCCGATGCCCATGGGAGTGGGCACTCGGCAAATGCCCCAGAGGCCCTGCTCTGGACCGACACCCTCAACCAGCTCAGCAGTCACCAAAGCAGCGGCTGCCCGTGGCCCACAAAGGAAAGAAAGGCAGTGGAGGCGGAAGTTCCGTGGAGAGGCCTGGAGCCCATCATTCCTGGGTGCACGTCCCAAACTGACCTCTCACCCACTAGCTGGTCGCTTTTAGGCAAGCTGCTAACCCTCTCTGTGCTCTGGTTTCAGCATCTAAAAACAAGAGCGTGATTCCCTAGCATGGGAGTTTGGAAGGAACCAGGGCCATCTTGCAGGCCCTCAGTTTACATCCCGTCTGTCCCTGTGTCATCGGAATAGAAACAGGGCTGCAGGCCTGTGTCCAGGCTGCTGAGCTCAGAAAGGAAGTCTAGGACACTTTGGGGACACTGAGGTCCTGTTGTGAGATTACTGTCTCCAGTCTGGACAAGGTCGTTGGGTACCATCCTGTGAGCGGCTGTGATGTTACCATGGCAACCAAAAGGCAGGCGCTGAGGATGCTGTTCCTGCCTCTGGGTGCTCTGCTGTAAGATTTGTTTTTAGACCATGAGCTTTTGTTTTGTTAAAGATCCTCTTAAAAACAAATTCCCCCTCCTTCTTACATTGTCAGACAGAAGGCACTTCTCTTGTCACTGGGACTGAGGGAGAAGTGATGGCCTGTTTCAATCCTTGGAATCTGGGCCTCTGCTGGGGCCCCGGCGGGCCCGGCCAACCAGGCAGTAGGACCAGTTATCGCTGTCTGCTAGGGACGCAGTCAAGGAGGCAGGCACCCACATATCTAGTGCTGGGCCAGGGTTCTCAGCCTCACCACCCCTCCTCTGTTGCTGACTCAGACTGGTGACAAATTGGGGTGAGGGGAGCCCCACTGGATTAGCTGAGTACCCGTAAGAGGGAATTCGGGCAGGACGGCTACTGGACCGGAGACACAAGAAGCCAACTCGAGGTGACTGTGCGGCCACCAGTGAGATGCCCAACTTCAGAGGAAGCCCCTGGTGTCTCAGGGTTCACAGGGCAGGCAGGGACCTCAGGCGCAGAGACCTCAGGCGCAGCCTCCCTGGACGGGGGTGGGGAGCGGGGAGTCAGGGAGAGGTCCTCCTACCTCTGGTGCTCTGGGGAGTAAGTACCTAGGCGGGAACGGGAAGGGCAAGGGCTGATGCTAATGCACGGCCAAGTCCATTGCTGGAATGTCCACTAACGACCTGGAAACTCTTCGGTGGGGAAGAGCAGGTTTTCAGTTGGGTATTTCCAGCCACAAGTTTTGAGCATGAACTGTGACTGTAGATGACTGACTATGCCAGGAATAGAAATAACCATGAACTTGCAGTGTGTCGGGGCTTGCTCCCAGGGTGTGGGCAGCAATACGCCAGGGGCCCTCGGGTGGTGCCCGCTGCCCAGGGACAAGCACCCCCGTCCTCTGCTCTCAGCTGGGAGCTCCCGCCAGCTGCCCAAGACAGACAGGTGTGAGGGACGGAAGTGGTCCCCTCGCCCAGGACCCGTCTTCTCTGCACCCAGGAGGGAGCTGAGTGCCGGCAAACACGCTCGCTCACTGTGGGAGTTCCCATGCAGTTCCATGGACCACAGCTGAAGTCCTGGCCCTGGGCCGGCCCCGGGGCTCTAGTCACAGCAACCTGCCCCGGGACCTCACAGGGGGACCGGGGCTCAGCTCCCAGCCCGGCGTCGGAAGGGGCTGGTGTGACTGTGCTCCTGGCGGCCACGCTTCCCTGGGCCCAGGGCCAGCCCCGAAGGGAGGCCTCAGGCCCCATCCCCACGGAGCAGAAGGGCAGAGACGCCTGCTCTGCTCGCTTGTGCAGCCCGCCCCCAGGGCCCGCAGAGGCTGTACCCGGGAGACCCTGCAGCGCCTGGGGGAACCCTCCTCCCAGCATGGGCCTTGGGGGCAGACAAACCTGGGTCCCACCTCTGCAGGGACAAGCATGTTTCTAGCTTTAAGTCTCAGCTTTGTCGTCTCAAAAATGCAATGAAGCAACAACAGGCCCTGAACGTTGTTGTGGGAATTCAACTGGAAGGCACCTTTGTTCTGCGTCATCATCATTGCGCCCTCTGCACCCTGCATCCTGTCCGGACCCCGAGGGGCTCCCCTGGCCTGTCTGCCGCCCACACCCCCCATCAGGGGAGCTGAGAAAAGCACCCCCTGCCAAGCCAAGCAGGGTGACCAGCGGCTTCAGCTTCCGCCAGGCTCACCAGTGTCCCCTCCATCTGCTGTCTCCCCTCCTCCTCTTTCTCCTCCTCTTCCTTCTTTTCCTCTCTCTCTCCTTCTCCCTCTTTTTCTCCCTCTTCTTCTCTCTCTCTCCCTCCCTCTCTCCCTTCCTCTCTCCCTCCCTCTCTCCCTCCCTCTCCCTCCCTCTCTCTCTCTCTCTCTCTCTCACACACACACACACACACACACACACACACACACACAGCTGGGCTGGGCAGTGCCATTCCCCTTTCCTTCCTCCCCTCGCGCTCTGGGGACAGCGGGAAACCAAACACACCGGTCCCACCAGCACGTCTCTCGCTGGGACCCTTAAAGCGCTTCTCAGCCCTCGGTTAGGAAGCTAGAAGGTCATAAAACTCCTCACGGCCTGCAAGCACTTTAAGCAAAGAGGTTACACTGGAAACGTGCTGGTAAATGGGCTGTTAGGTCATATTACAACTGCGTGTGTACAAAGTAAGGAAAATATCAGTTCTCTCTTTTTTAAAAAAAACAACTCTGGAAACAGAAGTAGACTCTATGGCATCATTATCAAAGTTTAAAAACACACACACGCCCACCGCCGGCCCGCATACCGCAGCCCGGCCCTCCCCGCAGGAGGCCGACCAGACCAGCCGCGGCCACATTCCACATTCCTGCGAGAGAGCTGTGTTCTCTGAAGTGACCGGCATGGGGGTGAGGGATCCTGCCCCACACTGCGCTGCGGTGAGCAGGGCCGCCCGCCGCCACCTCGCTCTGTGCCCGTGGGCAGGTGCCTTCCCGTCTCTGCGCCTCCCGGCTCCTGGCCTGTGCAGCGGGGGAGCGGAGACCTCTGAAGGCCTGCCCCAGCGCCGGCCTCCCAGGGCGGAGCCCACACAAGCCAGAGAGCCTGGGCTCGCTGCCCCGGCCCAGGTCTCGGGTCACGTGGCCCGGACTCTCCAGCGAAGAGTCACCTGTGGGCACGGCCTCGTGGCTCGGTGTCCAAATGTCTGGGGGAAGGAGTGCTTCCCTGGGCAACTCCGCTGCCCTGCGCTGTGCACGCCCAGCCCCGTTTGGTTCTGGGGAGGCCTGGGGGGGCCTGTGCTAGAGAGGGAGGGGCGGTGTGTGCGAGGGCGGGGGTGCTGGGGGCAGGGCGCCCTTGGGCCCTCAGTTTCCCCTCTGCTTGCAGGGCCTTCCTGGGTCTGTGAGATATTATGGTTCCAAAGGCCTGAGGAGCCCCCTGGGTGTATTTGTAGCTGGACAGACAAATGGGTTTGTAAGGAGGGGGCACTAGACACTGTTTATAACGGAAAACTTAGTGTTGATGTAGGGAAAACGTGATCCCATTATAAAGCACTTAGGACCCACTCCAGAATTCCCAGGGGGGGCGGGGACACACGTCTCCGGCCTTGGGGCCCAGCACAGAGTCATCCTGGCTCCTGCCCAGATGGCGCACGGAGACCTCCTGGCCAGCCCTGGCCGGAGAGGGCCTGGGTGGGGGCGCCGGGAGCCGGGCTCCCCCCGTGGGGGCACGTGTGGCACATTCTCGGTCCAGGGGACGCGCCTCTGTCCAAAGGCCCTGCTGGGAGAGGGAGGGACAGCCCTTCAGACGGGCTGCACCCCAAGGCCGGGGCTCATCTCTGGCTCAGACCCTCCATCCCTGGTCTCTGGTGTGCACTGGACTCCCCTTCTGTCCCTTCGGCTCGAGCTGGAGACGATGACAGACCCAGACCAAGAGCGACTGAGGGAACACATCTCCCCTGTCGCTGTCGGGGTGCTTGGGGCACACAGAGCTTGCCCACCGCTCTCGGGGAGGTCTCAACAGGGGTCTCTCTCCGAAATTTCCTCCCTGAACAGAACTCGCCGGGCGTGAACTGATTGTCTCCCGAAGACCCCACGCGTGACCACAGGCCCACGTCCCTGGTCCCTGCGCTCAGGGGCTCCCCGTCCTGTGCTGCCTTTACCTCTCCCCCCCCGCCACACTCGCTCACATGTCGCTTTCCATGGCCATCCCCCGGCCTGCCTTTGAGCATCACCATCCCTGCTCTACTCTGCTGTCGCTTTAGAAACTGGACAAGCATGTCTGTCCTCACTGTGCCTGAGACACGGGGCGCCGATCTGCGGTGACAGCTCCAAGGCCCTTCCCCTAACACCTGGACAGGGGCCGGGCTTCTGGGTAAGAGGCTGCCGACCACCAGACCTGTCACGGTTCCCGGGGCAGCCACGCCCCACCTTTCTCCCCACCACGCGTGAATGCCACCTTTGAAACGACCCATCCCGAGCATTTACACAAGAGCGTATAAAAAGTCTGTACATGATTCCTGGTCGCACATAGTATGCGTTTAGTATAAATAGACGAAGACAACAATGTATAAAAGGTAGTTTTGTGCCGGGGGCATCGCTGCAGTATTTACACCGGGCCGCTCGGCCGCCTGGCCTGCCCCTGTTCCCAGAGTCCCCGGCGTCCTCAGGAGGAGCCCAGGGCTGATGGAAGGCGGGAGGAGAGAGTCACCTGCAGGCCCCCGCGGGCTAGGTGGGGGGCGGGCCGTGGTAGCGGAGCATGAGCATGAAGGAGCGGGCGAAGTTGTTGGACAGCGCGCAGCTGCGGTTGTCTTCGCCCACCGGGAGCAGGAGCAGCAGCAGCAGGAGCAGGAGCAGCAGCAGCTGCAGGGGCAGCGCCACGCAGCACACCTTCCGGAGCAGGGCGCAGGGTCCGCGCCCGCGCTGGGCCTGCAGAACCAGAGCGGCAGGGGTTAGCGGGCTGGGGGCTCTGCGCAGGCGCAGGCGGTGTGGGGCGGGGCGGGGCGGGGCCAGGAGAACTCAGGGGCGGGGCCAGGAGGACACCTGGGGCAGCAGCGGCTCTGGGCCCCCCATCTGACCTCACGGGTCTCTGTCTTCCCAGCTGGGAAGTGGGCCCGATGAGAGTTTGGTCCAAAAGCAAAGATCTCTCCAGTTTTCTCAAACCAGTCAAGGCGCGAAAGGAAGAACAAATACATCAAGTTACAGACCCTGCCAATTACTACAAAATCTCTGCCTGGTTGTGAGTCCTAGGTGGGAAGCTTGAGTAGGTCACTCAACTTCTCTGAACTTCAAATGTCTTACCTGTCAAAAGGGGTGATAATGATACCTACCCGGAAGAGTTGTGAGAAATAAATGAGACGGGGCCTGCGCAGAGTAGGTGCTCAAAACTGCTGTCTTGTTATGAGGCATCACTAATATCATCCTCATAATCACAGTCACCACCACCACCACCACCACCACCACCACCCTCACCACCGTCAGGTTCTTCAGCACCCCCTTCTCCTCCATCTCCTGCATCGCCATCCTCCGCATCAACACCATCAGCACCACACGGACCTCAGCCTCGCACGTCCGCGTGCCTAATGAACATCTGTGCTGCAGCGTCCACACAAGTGGCCCAAGGGCGCTTCTGAATTCTGCAGGGACTGGCGGGGTCGCGCCTTCACGGGCGTGCAGGGCCGAGGGCGGGCCACGTAGGAAAGTGGGGGCCACTGGAGTGACCATTGAGCATGGCAGGGCCCAGCTCTCCGGGGCCCGGCGCAGTCTCTGCCGCACAGCAGCTGCGCGACCTTGGGCAAGCTGCTAACTTCTCTGAGCATCTGTCCTCTTCTCACAAAGTTGGGGTGAAAGATCTACCCCCCACTTGCTGGGTTGTGGTGAGGACTCAAGGCAAAGGACATTTGCACGCCAATTAAAGAGTAAACAAGCTCTTGTTTGTGGTACTGTTATTGCAAAACATACCCAATGGCTCCCTGCGGAACCAGAGGTTCCCCCTCCGAGACACCAAAGGTTACAATCAAGTGACGATGATGGTGGTGGAGGTGGTGGTGATGGCCATGAGGATGATGGTGGTGAGGAAGATGAAGATGATGATGATGATGGTGGTGACGAGGAAACATTGCTGAATGCAGATGCTCCCGGCAGGTCCTAACCCGGGGACTTCTGTCCCTCTCCCTCTCACACCTGAGTGACCTCACCCACTGTCCTGCCCCCACTCCCCCCTCCAGGCTGCAGGGACCACTTGTCCCTGGCCCTCAAAGGCCCTCACTCACCAAAGCCTGCGGACGCGCTGTAAGGACAGACTGCTGACAGCCTGCCCGACAGAGGAGCTGGGCTGGCTCCGCTGATCTCAGCAGTGACCTCGGGGTGGGGTGCAAAGCCACGTGAGCGCCCTGTGCCGGGGAGGGGGCCTCCCCACGGGCGTGTGGGGCTGGGGCAGACCCGGCTGGCGCCTGAGCTTTTGCCCACCAGCTCGGCTCAGGCAGGGCCGGCCACCGCAAGGAGTCTAACTCAACTTGACCTTTCGGGTTGTCTTTGCCTCATTCCAAACCCCCAGCCCGTCTGGGAGTGGGAGGGAGGGTGAGATGACATGCCGAGGCCCTCCTTAGCCCGGGTGTACCCCACGGCTACAGACCTGTGACGGATGGTCTCGCGACGCAGCACCTGTTTACAGGGGCCCCGCTTCTGTTTGCTCCCCCACTCTCCGAGCTAACACTCGGCTTCCTGAAGCGAGAAGCTGGGCCTTGGCCGTGACCCTCGGGGGACATCGTGTTGGAAGGTCTAAAGTGTGTTTGCATTGAGAAGTGCCAGGGTGGGGCGTCTCTTCCCCAGGACTCCTGCCGCCTGCCTGGCGGCTGTTCACTTAAGGGTTCACCTCCTCACTTGGAGGGACCCGAAGTCTAAAGCGTTCTTTAATATAAAAGACATGTTTTAATGTGATTCTTGGATGCTCAGAAAGCACACACGCAGTCACACAATGGGCATGAGCTATGTTCTCAGCAGCCAACAAAGAAATCGACGATCTCAGCCCCTCCCAGGTCTGGGAGCTTCTCTGTCCCTCAGTTTCCCCCAGAAAGTGCTGCCTCTTCTCTGCCTCCGCCCAGTCAGACCGACCCAAAGACAGAAGGGGCCTCCTCTGGGTGTGAGAAGCCCCCCGCGCAGGAGGGTACAGACACGGAGGGTTCATAGCACCTGGTGGTGGAGACGGCAGACATTGTGTAATTACCATCACTTGTGAGAGCTCTGAGGGGTTCAGGAATCCGGGACCTAATCATCTGCCATTAATGAAAGGGTGAAAAGGGGTGTGGGGGGAAGAAATGGTTTGGAATTCTGGGCTCTAAGCCTGGCTCTGTGTGACCTAGGACAGGCCAGTTAACCTCCCTGAGCCGCAGTCCCTTCATCTGTGGGGAAAATGGGGGGGGGGGGGGGCGATACCTTCCTACCAAAGTTGGTCGGGTAAAGGAGGCAGTGCATGCTATGCCTAACATACATAGTCAGCGTTCGATGAATGCTCATTCCCTTCCTTCTCTGCCTGGTGGGCAGGCGGGCAGGTCCTGGGGGCCCCGCAAGCTTCCCCTCCACCAGATGCCAGGATCAGACGCCCCCAACCTCCCGGCCCCATCAGAAAGAAAAGCACCCGCCTCCTTAAATGCCCTTTCTGGGCCCCTAAAGGCCCTCGCCCCTCCTGCCACAGGGCCTTTGCACAGGCCGCCCCTCCTGCCTGGAGCGCTCACTTCCCTCCTCCCACCAGTGGAGTTGGTTAGCTCCTGCTGGTCCCTCCGACCTCAGCGGTGAGTGGCTTCCCCAGGCCCCTCGATCAGCACGAGCCCCAGCTGCACCTTCTCGTGGCGCCCGGACCTTTCCTCTGGAGCCTGGTTCAGGTCTGCGTCCCCGGGGAACCCCGGAGGCAGCATGCACGTTAGTTGCGTCCATTGCTGCGTCCCCAGCAGTGCTCGATAAGCACTTGCTGAGTGACAGAAACGGTGGCCAGAAGGCTCCTTCCCTTCCTGTGTGTCTGGCTGTTGGCTTGCCCGCCCCCCCGCCCCCCCAGTGCCCATGGTGTGACTTGGCCTGTTCCCACAGCCCAGTGGTTCCCTAGAACCCCCAGGACCCCTCGTTAATGAGCGCACCGAACACGCCCCCCGGGCCCTGCCACAGTGCTGCCCCGCACTCACAGCTCCCTGAGCCCCCAGCGCCCCTCGGGGAGGTGGGCCTCCCTGGGCCCATTTCTCGGAGAAAGATACGGAGCCTGTGGGAACGGCACCAGGTCAAGGTCAACAGATAAGCTCAAATGGCCAGCATCGCTCCACAGCCCAGGCTCTGTCCAGCACCTGCCATGGCGTCTCTCCTAAGAAACAACTAAACCACCACCATGAAGGTCACCCTCGGCCTCTGCTGTCAGCCAGCCCAGAGCTGCCATCCCGCCCTGACCTGGGGTCCGTCCGAGAGCGGAGCAGGACTTTCAGGGGCTTTCCACCATGGAATGAAGCGGGTCTCACTCTCCACCACAAAGACGCTTCCAGCCCAAGAGCTAAGGTGGCGGCCAGGGGCCAGCTCTCCGCCGGCAGTCCAGGATGGGCCAGCCCCCGTGCCCCCACCAGACCCTCAGTCAGCAGTGAGCTCGGCCCGGAAGGCCCCTCTGACAGCCACGATGCCGTGTGCCTTCTCTCCGCGGTCTCCCCCGACACTCTCCGGAATGTCGGGGGCCGCCTCATTCCCCGGCTGCTCCAGGGGGTCTCCGGGTGCCCACAGTTCCCCGGCCAGGCCCTGCGCGCTGTGCCCCGGACGCCTTCTCCCCCAGTTCTCGGGGCCAAAGCTCCGCGTCACAGCCCAGGACACACTCCCCGTGACAGCGCAGAGGCTCCGGGCGGCTCCCACCAGGGCCGGTGGCAGCGGCTGGGCTGGGCGGGGCGTTCCCTGTGCTCACAGCAGGGTGGCTCTGCCTGGGACGGTCAGGCCGCGGAACTGTCTTGTCCCAGGAGCCCAGGGCGGTTCGGAGGGGGTCAGGGGATGAGCCGGCCTGAGCCAGCCTTCGGGGGGTGGTTTGGTTGACTGGTGGGCAGTGTCTCTGGGTCATATGATGGGAGTGGGGGGTGATTTTGTCGGGGGGTGTCTGACCTTCTGGCGTCTCTGGGCCACACTGGAAGAGGAGTTGTCTTGGGCCACACGTGAAATACACCAACACTAATGAAAACTGATGAGCAAATAAATGGTTTTAAGTAAACTCACACTTCTGTGCTGGGCCACATTCATAGCCATCCTGGGCCACGGGCAGCCCGCGGGCCACGGGTTGGACACCCCGATTCCGGCATTATTCGAGCAAGGAGGGAGCCTCATTCAGGAGCGGGGGCATGGGCCTTAGGTCGTCTTCCTTCCCCGCCCCTCCGCCCCCTTCTCTCCTTCCTTCTTCCTGCCTCCTCTGAGACCCGCCCAGGCCCAGCTCTGACCCTGGGGCTGGAACGAAGGTCCGTGCGGGTCCAGGACAAGCTGGAGGCATCCAGCCGGGGAAAGCAGGTGATCACAGCGCTCCCACTGATACAGGGATTGGGGCTCGGGTGGGTGTCGGGGATGCCGTGAGGCCACCTTGAGACCCGTGGAGTCTGAGCTGATCCCTGGGACCCCGAGCACACGTCGAGCATGAAGCCGGACCTTGGGGACTGGAGTTAGGGTGAACCCAGACCGGAGAAGGGCCCGAGAGAGCGAGAGACTTAGAGCCGGAGAGCAGGGCCACGGCAGGACAAGGTAGGACGTGGCAGGACGCGCCAGCGACAGAGTGACCTGTGAGAGGGAAAGGGGCCCTGGAGGCCCCGGGGGAACAGCCGTGGGAGGAAGAGGCACTGTGTCCGCGGTGTGTCTGAGCGGTGCCCCATGGAGCACTGACTAGTTACAGAGCAATGACGGCAGTATCACAGGGGGCAGGCGCAGCCTTC